ATCCGGACTTATTATGAGTGATATTATCTCTTTTCTCAATATATGCCTCCGCCTGTTTCATTTCCCATATTCGTTATTTCATTATGAACCTCTCATTGCAGTCCTACCATCTCCTCTTTAATACAGGCCACTTTGTACTAGCCACTCCACTCACCTGACACCTTTTATAACCTTGAACTGACTTGTCAATTTTCCTACCCCACACTCTACAAATCTATTATGATTATTCGCCACCATTGTCTCCCATTAACCTCGCCAGATACCAGCTTGCTAGGCTACTAGCTTACTAGTTTTCTCGCCGGTCCCAAGCCCGGGTAAAGAGGGAGGGTTGAGGCGTGGTGCTAGCAACTCCACCCCTGTAAAACAACCAAATCGCTACAGAAACTTCAACGAATAAATATATTAAAAATTCTAAAAACATAAGCAATAGCCTTACTTTTCGCTGGAATCGGGGAAGTGAAATGACGCAGGCTGGTGAAAGCCTTCGGGAAGCCAGTCAGCCGATGTGCCTTCTTTCGATGAAAGCAAAAGTAAGGATGGGTACCTGGAATGTTCGTACAATGTACGAAACTGGAAAGGCTGCCCAGATAGCCGCTGAAATGAGAAGGTACAGAATAGAAGTGTTGGGAATCTGCGAAAGCAGATGGAACGGAACTGGAAGGTGCCAACTACCTACTGGAGAGACAGTAATCTATTCCGGCCACCCAGAGGACAACCACGAGCACACCGAGGGAGTGGCCATCATGATGTCACCAACAGCAACCAAAGCTCTCATGCAGTGGGAACCAATCTCCTCCAGGATAATGACAGCCAGGTTCAACTCAAAAGGAAGGAAAGTTACAGTCATTCAATGCTATGCGCCTACAAACGTCTCAGAACAAGAGAAGAAGGAGGCGTTCTACAGACAACTACAAGCAATAATGGACAACGTCCCAAATGGCGATATCAAAATCCTGATGGGCGACATGAATGCGAAGCTGGGAGGAGACAACACAGGAAGAGAACTCACCATGGGTCGTGAGGCCCTCGGCGAAATGAACGACAATGGTGAACTCTTCTCAGACTTCTGCGCCTTCAATGATTTGGTGATTGGTGGTAGTGTGTTCAAACACAAGGATATACACAAGACGACATGGATTTCACCAGATGGAAACACCAAGAATCAAATAGACTTCATCTCAATTTCAAGAAAGTGGAGACGGAGCCTACTGGACACAAGGTCAAGGAGAGGAGCAGATGTGGGTTCAGACCACTATCTAGTAGAAGGGACTTTCAAGGTGAAACTAAAAGCCTCGAGGATAGCTGGGGATAGGCCACAATGCAAGTTCAACACTCAATTACTGAAGGACACAACCACAAAAGACACCTTCACTGCAACTGTCAGAGCAAAGCAGGAAACACTACGCGACATCACTGAAGAATCATGCGTGGAAGAACATTGGAAGTCTCTGAAGGCGATTCTCAACGAAACGTGTTCAACGGTTCTAGGAAGAAAGAAGAGACAAGACAAGGAATGGCTCTCAACGGACACTTGGAAATTAATAGAAGAGAGGAGAATGGTGAAAGAGAAAATGATTCAATGCAAGGACGGACAGGAGAAGGAGACGATGAGCTCAACTTACAAAGCATTGGACAAAGAAGTGAAGAAAAGTGCTAGGAAGGACAAAAGACGATTCTACGACAATCTAGCTACTGAAGCTGAAAAGGCAGCAGGCAAAAGGGACCTGAGGACACTATATCAGATAACCAAATCTCTATCCGGGAAGAGACCAACACAAGCGAAACCTATAAAAGACAGCCAAGGGAACCCAATTACCAAGGAAGAAAAACAGATTAAACAATGGGCGGATCACTTCAAAGGACTCTTGAACCGACCATCACCTGCAACCCGTCCAGAAATACCAACAACAGCGCGCACACAACTGCAAGTTGACACCAATCCTCCAACGAGAGCTGAAGTCTTGAATGCAATCAAACTTCTGAAAGCTGGAAAAACAGCCGGACCAGATGGAATACCCCCTGAAGCACTGAAAGCAGACCCAGAGACGACAGCAGACATGCTGACTCCATTATTGCAAAAGGTCTGGAAGGAGGGAAAGGTGCCTACTGACTGGAGGAAAGGTTACCTCGTGAAACTACCAAAGAAGGGCGACTTAGGCCCACTCTGCAAGAACTGGCGAGGAATCATGCTCCTATCGACGCCAAGTAAAATCCTGAGTCGCATCATCCTGGAGAGATTAAAGGACGCACTGGAGACAGAACTCCGACCAGAACAAGCTGGATTCAGGAAAGGCAAATCATGTACTGACCAAATTGCAACTCTACGCATCATCATCACAGAACAAAGCATGGAATGGCAATCAAACCTCTACCTCAACTTTATAGACTTTGAGAAGGCCTTCGACAGCGTTGATCGTGAAGTAATTTGGAAATTACTCGAGTACTATGGCGTACCCCAAATATTCATCAACCTTATTCAACAGCTGTACGACAACGGCACCTGCCAAGTGATCCACAACGGAAGACTCAGCGAGGCGTTTGGAGTAAACACAGGAGTCAGACAAGGGTGCTTATTATCACCAATGATATTCCTAATTGTGGTGGACTGGATTATGCGTCAGACAGTGGGAAACGAGAAGACAGGAATATCCTGGACCGACGTGAAGAACCTAGAAGACCTGGATTTCGCGGATGATTTATGTTTGATGTCACACACAATCGAAGACTTACAAGCGAAAACCGACAAACTGGTCGAAGAAGCAGCAAAGACAGGACTCCAGGTAAACATAGACAAGACGGAGGTTATGAAAATAACCAACCAAAAACAATCCAACGTCAATCACCATCAACGGGAGGGATTTGAAAGAGGTTACTTCATTCACTTATCTAGGGAGCATTGTCTCAACTACAGGAGGAGCGGACGAGGATGTCAAATCGAGCGAGAATCGGGAAGGCGAGAAACACATTCATCAACCTGAAATCAATCTGGAAATCTTCGTCACTCAGCATCACCAACAAAATTCGGATTTTCAATACAAACGTAAAGTCAGTTCTTCTATACGGATCAGAAACTTGGCGGGTCACAAAGAATATTTCCAAAAGGCTGCAGACCTTTATTAACAACTGTCTTCGCTCTATACTGAAGATCAGATGGCCGGAAAGAATCACCAACAAGGAATTATGGGAACAAACAAAGCAAGAACCAATCGCCCAACAAATATGCAGGAGAAAGTGGAGATGGATCGGACACTCGCTGAGGAGACCGCTGGGTGACATCGCGCGCCAAGCCCTCGAGTGGAACCCGAAAGGGAAGCGGCGTGTGGGACGTCCAAGGGTGACATGGAGGAGATCGTGTGAAGAGGAGTTGAAAGAATATGGATTAACATGGATGCAGGCGAAAAGTATAGCAGAAGACAGAAGAAAATGGAGACGTGCAGTTGAAGCCCTATGTTCCACTAGGAACCCAAGGGAGCAATAATAATAATATAACTGTCTCCCATTTCACCGAAATATTTTGTAATCGATTTCAGCCTACTAGCACGTTTTTCATACAAACACGACTATTTATTTTGATACCCCATAACTACTAATCTGTTATTCTACGTTAAAAATGTATCCCCCGCATAACTGGCTTTTACTGTAACGACCACAAATATTACATTTTATAATTGTAAGAACCTGAAGAGAAATTATTGAAAAGAATATTCTTCGTTCAGACTGACTTTTAATTTCATTTGTATTTTGAGGAAATGAAATGCAGCATTGTGACAAAAGCCGAAAATTCCAAGGTAAAGGGGTAAGGCAGTGGCCGAGGTTGGAACCTCGAATCATATGCGTGGTTGGTGCCACTGTGCTACCGACGCTTTGAACCTGAGAGTACTGGACAGCTGTCTCCTCCGTCCTACTTTGGGATTATTCAACAGTACACACCCATCGCCAGGGTTGGAACCCAGCACTTTCTGGTTATAAGGGAAGCTCATAGACCATTAAACCACTAGGACTCTGAAGCAGAAATCACGTTGTCACAATTCTATCCATCTCTCAGGCGAACCATACTATCTATTTCTAATTGAATAAGTAGTGTCACTAAACCCGAAGTTATGGTATCCCCACTAAAAAAATGTCCTTGTACACCATATGATAGTTTTGCAGATGCTACTGTCTTTTCAAACTCTGTGCAATACCTAGCCATGTAGGGAACAGAATTGTTTACACGGTAAAAACCTCGGCATTATCATGTCCTACATATCAAGAATTGACAGTTTTCTCACTGAACTGGAACAAAACGCATAGCATTTTTTTTGATTTATCTGACAGACTGATTGGCTGACAAAAGAATTTCATGGAAGATAACCTAAGTGACAGTGAAGAAACACACCGGCAAAGCATATAGGTACTTGTAGGTCGTGTACAGGGATTCAGAATCCTTTTTCACTTCAGCATTGAAGAATCGCTTGACGCCTTCTAATCAACCTAAATTAAGCATTCAGTTATTACTTAAAACAGGCCAGTCAGCCAAACAGCCAGTCATCTAAGGAATTTTATTGTAAATAACTTCAAACAAGAAAGATTAACCAGCCATGAAGAAAACAATATATATATACATATATATATATATATATATATATATATATATATATATATATATACTATTTAAATGACGTGGCTATTTAAAATGTATTACGGTTGTATCCTAGCAACATGCCGGATACAGTTGAACAACAAGAACACGTAAAACGTAAAGTAGCAACACACACACACATATCCAATGCATTGAGCAGAAATAAATTTCAGGCTAATATTAATATAAAAGTCAGCTGAATTCTTCAATTTGAGAACATCCATAAATTAAATGGCTGATACAGGTTAGCAACTTGAAATACCTTAGAATGATTTTACAAGTCTAGAGGGAGGGTATAAAGAACTACGATGAATAGGCGTCAGTTTAACAAATATTGAAACATTCTATGTGATAAGTGTAGAAAAGATGAACGACTTACCACCTGCAGGAGGAACAAGTTGATCTAGAAGTTTGTTACTTGTTCTCTTCCAGATTTTCTTAATTACAGCACGAAGTTCTTCATTGAGTTGATCAATTGCTGCACCTTTTGTGGGTAAATTAATGAAAATTATGAAAGAGATTGATTAAAAGTTCGGGTTGATATGAATAAGTAAGACGGTTAAAGTCAGAGTGATTATATAACTCTATATTAACAATTTAGTATTGTAAAAAAAAACATATTATGATTATATGAATAGTTGTACACCAGTTTCACTATGCAGCAACACTTAATACTTAGTTTGAAAGATTTTTTATCATATGGTGTGAATTTCATTCTCATCAGGTGTTTTGATTAATTCAGCCGGACCAAAATTCCAGTAACACACTGATGTCTTCAATTATCTACATACTCAAACTCTATGAGTTACATTTCTACGTGGCTTGCCATCATGGTGAATTTTGGATTGTTGTTATTGGATGGTTGAAGGGAATCAGCAGAAAAATCTGGACATAGGTTATGTGCTTGTTGACACTCCTCGGTCATCAAAAAATATCTGGATTCTTGAAAGAAGTTAAAAATCCCTTCCAAGATTCAAACCTGTGTCAGCCAGTGATGCAATCATAGATGATGCCACTGGGCTATTTGGAGTTGTGGTTGCCCCACTGATTGGTCAGTGGGTTGTGACTGATGACATGCGTGAAGACCGAATTCTGTCAGTTACGTTTGTCATGTAGCAACGCCTCTGACTGCGACACTAGGTTACACGGGTCAGAATCTCAGCAGGGACATGAGTTTCCTCAAGATTGCAGAGACGCCTTGCTGACTGGTGGTGAGTGCCAACAAGCATGAAACCTAGGTCCAAGCAGGGCTTCCTACCGATTACCATCAACCACCTAACAGATGGCGCTAAACACTGGACTGTTGCAGTCAACTGATGTATCAGGTGTTGATACTGTCTGAGCCAGTGTTCAGTTAGCAGATTTTTATTGAGTTTCTGAATGGTGATCGAAGACAAAATGAAAATCTGATTCGTGGCGGGACTTCAAGTAGACAGCCTCCAAGTTACTATTATGGCACTCTATCACCTCAGTTATGGGACTCAACTTCCAACGACGACTTCAATTTAAATCAATCGACATTGGAATCTAGAATTTTCCTTTTTTTTTTAGTGACGCCTGATGGCATTTATCGCTTCTCTTAAACGTCGAATACTATAAGAAAAGTCGAACTATAGACTGAGATAATAAGTGTGTGGAACACAGCACTTCACTTGGACAAATTATTTTGATGGTAATAATAACTATTTTATGAAATACCTGTTTCGTCCTAGTTCGGGGCTCTTCATGGGTACGTACCCATCACCTACCTCACTAATCTGGGAATGATCCCAGGAGTTTCGGGTTACATATTAACCTAGTTGACCATCTAGGCGCTTAGGAAGGATTTCAGTGTTCCATGGATTTTAACTTTCGCCAATTCCCGATACTTGGCCTCATGAATGACCGATTTCGTCAGTCAGTAAATATCCTTACAACTAACCTTATTGTCCCGGAGAGTCACAAGATGACAGAAAAAAGCTGTCCAGTATTCCATGGTTTTTAACGAATTACTAACACTGATATCAATCTGTGGTCCCTAGTTGAAATCTATGAAATCCCTGCAAAACGAACTCGTAAAACTTGACAATTCATTATCATCGTCAATACACTTACCTTCAGTTTTTATTTTTAAATTTGTTCGAACCAAAGCAAAAAGTGTTGCATTGAACATGACTGTCCCATCACTGTTCAATGGCATATTCATGCGGACCAATGTCTAATCACAAAAATAAAGGTGAAAGGAAGAAGAGGCGTGATTAAGAAACTCGAGAATAAAGTGTTGATGCGCTTAATTGTGTAGACAAAAATCGAAATCGATACTGCTACACATCACACAGTCAGCTGACCTTCTCAAAGTCTTGTTAAGTCTCAGCAGGATATTCATGAAAATTTTAGTACATACATACCTTCATGGGTTTATACTGGAGAAAAATAGATCCCCTCACATCTCTATTCTGGAATATATACCTGATCGAATCCTGACACCAGGTGAACTTGAAAACCAAACTTCAAAGTCATCTACAGAATACGCAGGAATCTTACTAAAGGAGTAAAAAATAAAACTTCTACAAACCACAGAAACGATGGTGATTCAAAGGGTTAAATGTCGAATTCTGCATGCAGAAGTTTGTTTATTCCCTGCATATTACCGCGTATATATATATATATATATGATTGCGCAATGTGAGATTCGCATCTTTGAAAACAATAATTCTTCATTGAACGTCTTTTCTTTTATATGAAATTAGAAAGATCTAGTTTAAATCATATGGTGGTAATTGTGAGCTTTTAATGTATTCAACTAAAGGCTTCACACTTTCTATCAATGCCTGATGAATTTGTAAGACCAACTCTCTGTGCATTAGAAATAACAAAACATACAAAAGATCTGTCGGATGCATTGTGACAGTTTCTTTATCTTATTGAAATCAAAACAAGATTTTGAACGAACATTTGGGGTTTCGATAACTTCTTCTCTCTTCAGGCTCTACAGTTAGTTATAAATCCATGAATAATAGAGAGTACATATAGGCAGCCAATAAAGGCAAATGAAAATAATATCAGAAACTGTATTGGGGTGCAACTGTGTAAGGCGAGATGATGATAGTCCATTAGTTAGCATGGTCAATTAAATGTGTATAGGGTGTTTAGTCAGAAAAATGTGATGAAGTGTGAATGAACAATTGGGTGGTATATAGTGTTGTTTTATAGTCAACAGAATACAAGTGTCGTCACTGGGGTGAGAGAAATGCGTTAACCACAAAATATACATACAAATACACATTAACAAAGGAGGCACTGGATGTGAGGGCTGACCGATAATGTCTAATGATAAAATAAGGAGGTTAAATTGCTAATTGTAATAAAATGCTACAGAATTGGTGGGCTTAGTATAAAATCATAAAGGTTGACAAAAAGTAAGAGTAACAATGAGGTGAAATGAACTGGGTGGAGAAATGGATAATAAAGACATGATATCACAAAATAATAATAATGATAATAATATTACAAAAGATTATGATCCTGGTGACCTTATAGTGGGCCAGGGTAGACAAAGAGAGTGAATAAGTTTTTTCTGTACACATAGGTCTGGTCTCTCTCTCTCTCTCTATTAATCTCTCAGGCCTCAGCTATGGCTAGGAGGCGTAATCGTGCGCCTTTGGGGAGATTGTTCGGTACTCGATACACAATTGTAAATGACTCATGTACTTTGATGCTGTGTTCACTCTCCACTGGATGAGACAGAATTTCACAATGACAGCCGAAATGCACATCTCGGATTCCATTGCTAATCGCCGTCTACCATATTTTACAAGTAATGGTTTGGAGGGGTTTGATTGACTGGGAACAAGATTTTATCATGATCTGAAATCGGTTAGAGTACCATTGGGAAACCAGTAGGGAGTACTGGTTAGCAGTATCCTCCGTCCTAGTTTAGGACTCTTCATCAGCACGCACCCATCGGAGTTCGAACCGAGGACTTTCTGGTTACAAGGCCAGCTCGTAGAACATTACGTCACTGGGACCCGATCAATAAAATGCTCACTAGCGGCTGGCCCTATTCAGTCAGTGATCTGGGGTTCTAGTGGGAAGCCGTGACCAGTAGGGTGTAGCAGGTCAAGTGTGAGCACAAATAATCGCCGAAGACACTGACTAGCAGTCGTGCTACGTCATGAATTGGTATAGGTTGGAATTCATAGACCGTTGCATCGTGTCCCAGTACTCCCTACTGGTTTTCCAATCGTTCTCTAACCGATGTCAGCTCATGATGAAATCCTGTAAGCAATCCAACAAATAATTCAAGAATGTATACAGTTAATAACAATGCATTCAGTGAAGGAAAAAAGTTTGTTAGGCGAAGTAATTGAAATTCAAAACTGTATATTGAATCGCCTATCTATCTATTTATCTATCTGTCTGTAAGAGTGACTTTATTGAATATCCGTGCTAAATCTAGCGTCGTAGTCCATTGCTATGATGGTTTAATAATAAGGTATACTTTTTGTATGATTTTTAAATGAAATTTCGCATTAAAATCTTCTTACTGACGTAGATATTATCAATGACATAATAAATTCGGGCTGCGCGTTACATTTGTCGCGCTATCATCAGAAAATACCGCTTGATACTGCTGGCATCTACTCACTGTTGTATTGGTGAATTAAAGGAGGCAGTTAGGTTCGAAAGTTAAGCGTATATATTATTGAATTTTAATGCAAATTAAGCTGATATATATATATATATATATATATATATATATACTTTAGCCTATTTATTGCGACACCTTAATAAGCATTGGATGCATGAAGCAGGTGGCGCCACTTTGAAAAAGCAATATGTCATTATAGTCGGTTGGCCTACCTGGAATGGTGACTACTATTTGATTGACGACAAAATAACATCTAAATAAAATAATAGATGATCAGGTTTAAAAAAAGCTAATCTGCACATTACATCGATGAAATTTGGCTAACTGGTATATCCGACAAAGTTTCATTAATCAACAGATGCGACAAAAAAGAATATTAAAAAATTTGGACATAATTATACAGTCTGCAAAATCAAAAACCGGTTTTCATTCCACTTGACTTCAAGTGGCGAAAACTAGTCTCTTTACTCAAAAAATCCTGTTCGTCGGTACAATCAAAATTGCAACAAGCATCACTTACATATTACCTGCAGCTGTGTACATCAAATAACGTGTCTCTATGTGCGAGCAGTTAGACATTTGAAGAATAGAAAGAAGAAAAGGCATGCATCAAAATAACCTTCGATTAAAGCGACTGAATAGTTTCAACCTATCATTTAGCAAACACATGATCATAGACACAAGATACCTCCTAGTGAGACATGTTGGGAACTTTTGGAAATATCCTAAATCTTCTCAAGTTTGCTAAAGCAGTCTGTATCAGACAGGTGAGAAACTCAATTTCGGTGTTCAGAAAGAAGTAGTTGTCAGTCTTTCCTTGCCTTGGTAACTACGTGTCTTAATTCTCTATTTCATTTGATTAAGTAGTCTGTGGCCTTAACCTCTTGTCTTGATTACGCGACATTGATTTCTGTTTAAAAATGGAACCCTCTGTCAACTGACATCATGCAGAAATTACAAGTATGTTGAAATCGTTTCTGTGAGCAGCTGATGAGAAGCTGACGAAATGAACAATGATGATACCATCTTGTTCTGCACAAACTGCTGTTCTCTCTATTTATTCAAACTTATTAAAGGGAATAAATGTATGGAAGCATTCTTCAGTTTAAAAAAAAAGAATCCGTCCTGGGATTGCAGTTATTCAGATAACCCCCAGCTTATTATTAGTATTGTTCCCTTGTGTTCCTAGTGGGACAAAGGGCTTCAACTGCACGTCTCCAATTGCCACTTCTGTCTTCCTTCGGCTGTAATTTTCACCTCCATCCATATTAGTCCATATTCTTTCAACTACTCTTCACACCATCCCCTCCATGTCACCCTCACACTGACGTCCTACTTGCTGCTTCCTTTTCGGGTTCCACTCGAGGGCCTGGCGCGATGTCACCCAGCGGCCTCCTCAGCGAGTGAGTCTCCAATCAATCCATCTCCACTTTCTCCTGCATATTTGTTGGTTGGCGATCGGTTCTTGTTTTGTTTGTTTGTTCCCAGCCAGAGTTTCTTGTTGTTGGTGATTCTTTCCGGCACGCCCGGCCATCTGATCTTCAGTATAGATCCAGAAAAGACAGTTGTTGGTTGATGAAGGTCTGCATGCAACAGTCTGTTGGAAATATTCTTTGTGACCCGCCCGCCAAGTTTCTCTCTGATCCGTATAGAAGAACTGACTTACTTGACGTTGTTTGTATTGAAAATCCCACCTTAGTAACTTTTTATCTTCTGATTTCTGTCAGTCTGTCACCATTTTTCGTTTAACTTTCATATTTTGATTTAATTTTTAATCCTTTTGATTTGTATTCACTGTATTTAGTCATCATTATCTTTTCACTGGGCGTCGTAAACACTAAATTTTGATTTTTTTTAATCTTCCAAGTTCTGATCACGGTATTTTATTACTTTTGATTACACAATTCTATCAGTGACTTATCATCATCCTCATAACGAAAGTGTTCATTTTTTTTAAAAAGGAAATTCGCTCATCCTTATTGTTTCATCTCACTATGACGTTTTTGCAACATCCCTTACTGGAGGACTAATACATCATGATGATAACCGAAATATTGTACACAACTGACTAGAACTGAAAAACAAAATGGATCCATATTTATGTTGTCTATCAATGTTTGTTCTACCTTTAATAAGACAATTGCAGTGAAGAAAATTTTCCTTCCGACGAAGTCATCAACCAGGTGGCTGTACATTCATGTATTTATATCAAATGGATGGGAAAGTTGCAGAATAATTTCCGATTAAGGGTGAAATTAATAAAAATTACAATTAGGAATTAGAATGCCATAGTAAACAGAGGGAATGACATTGTGCATTTGGGGGTAAGAAATGTAGAAATAACAAAATAGACAGGATGTTTGCATAAAAAAAACACTAACATTATCCAGCCTGGCTAGTAAAAGGAGACCAAAAACGTGTATGCAGTTCAGTGACAGAACATCTAGTCAATTCAGGACATTCAGCGCCATTCACAAAATCCTTCAAAGTATTATACAAGATTCAATCAAACCCATGAAAGGGAGTGAAATTAAGACATCTGGGCATGGTTGAGGCGCTAGCTATCC